ATATATATATACATATAATCCTATCTATACTCTTATATCAATATACATATGCGTAAATGTGGTGTGCGCGCACGTGCGACCACACGAATGTAGTGCGGTTTCACCGTTTGGTAAAGCGCATTCATTACGTTTACGATGCACGCCGGACGACATGCAATCGCTTAATAATTCTTCTCTAAACGATAGGCAGAATGCGAAAATATAATATATAGAAACAAGGGAGAAAGATATATGCATTTCACGTAATAGTGGAACGTGAAAGCTTCAAGACGCCGAGAAAAATAAAAAGATAAAACTGGCCAAACACAGCGCTGAAACATGCACTCTAATATTTAACAAATGATCGTTAGTAATATTTAACGTTTTAATAAATTAAAATAGTTCTACAAATTTGCAACTTTCGTGCACGCGCACGCGCTTACACTCATATACATAATATGTACGTGTGAGAGTGTATAATAATTTCTTATATATATATATATATATAACAAAATGGCAAAAATGTTCCTCCTGATTTCTCGCAAATAGAGAGACTTTACGTTTCTCCGCATTCGTCAAAATTACATTATTATTACGCGTAAGTTATAATAGTAATAGAGAATATATGAATGTGTAGAAAGATTCGTCATATTAATGAAGTACGATTCGACAAAAAACGTTTGAATTTGTGAATATTTTGGATAGAAATTCACTTGACTTCTAATTTCGCAGTAATATCCATTCGTCACGTACTGCAACTTGTTGCTGTGGTGTTTATATCATATTTTTTATATTCTCCAAATAATCCAATAAATATATACCCATACATAAATATTAATAATGCAGAGAGAGAGAGAGAGAGAGAGAGAGAGAGAGAGAGAGAGAGAGAGAGAGAGAGGAAGGAGGGAGAAAGCAAGGGAGGGGAGGGAAAGAGAGAGAAGGAAAAAGAAAGAGATGTGATAAAAGTAAATTGTATTTTTTTCGGCATTAGAATATTCTGTCTATATCTTATCCATATTTCTTTTTTTCCTCATTTTGCCTTTAATTCCTTTATACATATACCTATATGAAGGATTTGATATCGCGTGATAGTTGCTCGTAACGATAATCATGTACATCTCAAATCGTCACTAATCACGATAGAAATAATCAAAACTTATATACATCAGACTTATTACGCTGCGTTTAATATGAAACTCGAAGTATTTTCTTACACGTCACTAAATAAAAATGCAATTTTCTGAAAGAGATATCAAATTAATTTATATAGCGGATATATTTTTCTTATACCGCATATCTCTTTTTCCTTCTTTCTCATTCTAAGTTCTACGACGCGACTTATCTTTCCATAAAATAGTACTTGTGTGCACTTGAAGGATTCATCCGGGGTCGAGAGACCGAGTATAGAAAGCGTTGAATATACGCGTATCTAATTATCGAGAATTTTAACTTTATTAAGTCTTCTCGTTAATGAAATTAATGAAAACAAGATATCTCTTTTGCGCACAGATTTTCGATTATATCTCATCACAAATGCGCCGAGAGTTTCTCTCTCGTCCGCGCGCGCTCGCACACATGTCTGGATGCAGCAGTCCGATTTTATCTCGTTGAGATGAAACGAGACCAGAACAAAAGCCGTAGAAAAGAATCACATGTAGGAATACCTGCCACTGCGTTTGTCAACATTCATCGACGTGAAACGAATACGATGAGACACCGCGCACTGCGCGGTGACGGTGACACGCGGTGCTATAACTTTTATAGTTATTCATCATAATCAGCCGCAATTTTTGCGATTTTATTATGTTCCTCTTTTATATCTCTCTCCCACATCAGTTCGGTACTTGGATAATTTTTCTTTCTCCCGTTCTTATTTCTGTTTTTTCGTTCCATCTCGACCGCTGTTTTCGTCGATATTCAACGTCAATCTGAGCCGATCTTATCGTTATTCGACTTCCTCTTTCTCTGATTTTCGTCTCTTGACCGTCTCCGACGACTCGTTTCATCTACCATTGAATATACACCCCTTCCAGTGGCATCTATTCAATGATTCGACTGCAAAATACACAAACATGCTATTCATCTTATCCGTCTCTATTTATTAACACATATTTATATAAGTTTCCTTGCATTTAAATTTTCTAACTTTACCGATATTACTAGGTCGAATCGATGTCCAACATCAACGCGACTTTATAATTGTGCTTGCACAAGTTTCATTACTGATTACGCGATAATACTCCTCTTAAGATCATAACTCTATTTAGAGAATCAATTTGCTCTCCTGGGATTGACGTTAGTCTCGCTTTCAAGAACTGAAGAAAAACCACGTCGCCACGAGATGTAAAATCAAAACGGGCGACGTTAAGACATTTGCAAAACAAATAATTGGAGATTCTTCGGCGCACATGCAGCCCAGACATTTTCCTTGTTCTCCCTTTTCCTCATCTCTCTGCCCCCTCCCCTCCCCCCCCTCTCTCTCTCTCT